CTGGGTGAAAAGAGCTGCCTTGCTCTTTGTAAGGCTGAAGGTCAGTTCCCAGGGGACTGCACCCAATGGTGCTGAGCTGACTGATCCACCTTGGGCTCTAAGGCAGAGTGGAAAGGAGCATGTGTAGAGGACGTGAGCCAGCAGGTGGCCCCATTTTAGCCTAGCTGGGTCTGTCATCCTAGTGGCTGAGGTTTAGGGTGTTTGCTTGCTTGTCTTCCCCCAACAGAATTTCTTCTCCTTCCCTAGGTTGCAAACTGGAGTATTCGGAGCCTAGGCCTCTCTCTCTACGCAGACTGCTTGGCTGGCACGTACAGTGGGGGCAGCAAGCGGAAACTCTCCACAGCCATGGCGCTGATTGGCTGCCCACAGCTGGTGTTACTGGTGAGGGGCACTGCAGCCCACAGGACGGGGTGGGAGGCCTGAGGAGCTGAAACCAAGTGTGGCATGTCTTTGGTTGGGGAGATATGTTCCGGTCAGCAAATTTAGAGAATGCAGCGATTGTTTCTCGTCTGGAATGCTCCCCGGCGCTCGTTTTGAGCAAATCAGCCCAGTTTTTAGTTCACAGATCTAGGGAGAAACTGGAGCCACAATACATTCTCACTAAGAGTTCCTTGGAAGTCCCCTGTGGTGCTGCGGGCTCACAGCAGGGAAGCTCAGCCCACGCTGTGGGATGTCAGTGTTTGGTCAGAAATGACTTCTGCCTGAGGAGCTCTGTTTGGAATCTGAAGTGGGCAGGAGCATTGGCCTGGATCAAAAGGCACCAATGTCATGGAGCAGCCCCTGGTCGTGTGGTGCTCACCTAAGCTATATCGGGCCTGAGGCCCCGTCCCCATGTGGTCTGATGTTCATGAGGGTCACAGGACTGGACCCAAAACCAAAAAAAAAAAAAAAACAGTTGCCATTGAGGCAACTCCGACTCAATGTGCGTGTCATAGTAGAACTGTGCTCCATAGGGTTTTCAGTGGCTGATTTTTCAGAAGTAGACTGCCAGGCCTTTCTTCCGAGGCACCTCTGGGTGGACTCAAACCTCCAACCTTCTGGTTAGTAGCTGAGTGCATTAACCATTTGCAGTACCCACGGTCTCTCAGGACTGAGAAGGGAACCTGAAAAGTCACTTGGGCCATCTCTCTGCCTCATTACAAACATATTTGTAGTTTTTCTTTTTTTTTTTAAGAAACATTCCATGTTGCCAATGTTAACGCATTCATGGGCTGAAATGGGTCTAGAGGTGTGCAAAATGTTTCTTTACTCTCCTGATTCAGCCTCATGCCTTCCCTACTCCACACCTGGGTACCCTGTGCCCCGCCCAGCTGGGGATGACTGTGTGTTGTCTGTTAGCTTTCTCCCCAGAAGCCAGAGCAGCTCAGAGGGAGTCGCCCAGGGGAGATGCAGTAACCAGGAGAAGCCAATTCCAACTCCGCTGCCCCCTTGCCCTCTGTCCCACCCACAGGATGAGCCCACCACAGGGATGGACCCCCAGGCTCGCCGAATGCTGTGGAACACCATCATGAGTATCATCAGGGAAGGGAGAGCTGTGGTCCTCACATCCCACAGGCAAGAAATGCCAGGGTCTCAGGGAAGGGTGGGCGAGAGTCCTCCCCACTTTCCCTCACCTCCTCACTCCCTCCCCCCACAGCATGGAAGAATGCGAGGCCCTGTGTACCCGGCTGGCCATCATGGTGAAGGGCACCTTCCAGTGCCTGGGTACCATTCAGCACCTCAAGTACAAGTAAGGAGATGGTGTGGGAGACGCCCTTTGTTACCCTCGGTGGGGTTCAGCCAGGCCCTGGGCTTTCTGCTGACACTTGGGAGGACCCTGTTGCCCCCTCACCCCACGGGCAGAGGCAGGCAGTAGCTAGGGCCTCCTTCTCCACCAGCAGTTGGAGAAAGCCATTCTACTGATGAGAAACTCCTCTTTGTTGTTGTTTGTGGTCCTCAAGTTGGTTGTGACTCGTGGCAACCCCATGTGTTACAGAGTAGAACTGCTCCATAGGGTCTTCTTGGCTGTAATCTTAACAGAAGCAGATCGCCAGCCTTTTCTTCTGTGGCACTTCTTGGTGGGTTTGAACCGCCAACCTTAGGTTAGCATTTGAGCACAAACTCTTTATGCCACCCAGGGAGCTTAGAAGCTCCTCTATATTGGGCTAATTGCTTGTGGTTGAAGGTACGGTGGAGTCTCTGGATAGGGGCTCTGATCAGGATGCAGAGCCTGGCAATCTGTGATGAGGGAGGGTCACTCTCACCGCCTCGTTATCCCTCCACTTACTCCGACAGATCCAGGGCCGAAGGACCTGTTTCGTAAGAGTTCACAAACAATGCAGGAATGATTAGGAAACCAAATGGCTTGAGAACCAGTTTTTCTTTGTAGCATGTTGTATGCTTTTGAATTTGAGATATGATCATATACTGACAAAAACCATCAATGCAGATAATCTTGAGCAGGATTATCCTGTACCCATAAATTATAAACTGTTACAGATAATTTAGTAATAATACTTCTTGAGCCAAAGTTTGGAGCCCTGGTGGCCCAGGTAAGAGCCCAGGCTACTAACCAAAAGGTCGTCAGTTGGAATCTGCCAGCTGCTCCTTGGAAACCCTATAGGACAGTTCTACTCTGTCTTTATAGGGTCACTATAAGCCGGAGTTGACTCAAAGTCAATGGGTAATGGGTGCCAAAGTCTGTTTTTTGGTTCCAAAGTTGACGATCAGTTAAAATAAGGTTATCATAATAACATCAAGCTTCTCTGCATTCTGAGATGCTTTATAAACTAGGAAAGGGAGGAAAATGTGGATTTATAATTATCACTCATTTATTTAACAAACACCTATTGAGATCCCAGAATATAAAAGTCACTGAAAGGAAGCGCACAAAACTCACCTTATGTATGTGAGGCTCTTAGTCTCGATGTACCTATGGGAGTGTTTTGCACAGTAAATATCATCCTTCATGTGCATCAGGGCAGATAAATGATTGAGGGAAAATTCTAGTAGACAAGCTGCATTTGGCAAATGGGTATCTGGCCCTTGATTTCTTGAGCAACTATGGCTTGGACACTGCATAGACACTTATGGGCTCATCAGCCTGTGAGGTCAGCAGTCCTGTGTCAGCAGCACTTCCTGTGCCCGACTGCTGGGGAAGTAGATGTCTCTCACTGCCTTCCCTGTGGAGCCCTCTGGCGCCGTGGTTAAGTGCTCGCTGGTAACCGAAAGGTCAGCGATTCAAACCCACCAGCCGCTCCGTGGGAGAAAGACATGGCAGTCTGCTTCCATAAAGATTACAGCCTTGAAACCCTATGGGGAAGTTCTGCTCCATCCTACAAGTTGCTATGAATGGAAATTGATTCGACGGCAATGAGTGGGTTTTCCCTGTAACCCCTCAATATCTCTGTGGTGGAGCGGGTAGGGATGAGAGTTCCCCACATGAAGGGACATCCGTTTTTTGGAGCTGAACAATGAAACGCATCTTGCTGTAGAGAGGAGCAACCCTAGATCATGGAAGGGCACTGAAATAAAGTATAACTGACACAGTATGCCCTGGCCATTCTTCATCCACATGAGGGTGACCAGCTCACGAAGGGAGGAGGGAAACACTGGTGGCCTTGGCCCTACAGCTCCATGTGCTTCTAAAAGCTTCCTCGGGGATGTGCTGCCAAACCCTCACTCCCACCTGGGATCATCTTCTGAAGGCCCAGCCAGCCTTTGCCACCACTGATTTTGCAATGGCTCCACATGTCTTTATGGATGGGCCTATGATCTCCCCATGGGGCTGGGGCTAAAACCACCTTTGACTTCAGCAAGGCTGTCTGTCTCACTTCACTACACAGACATGTTGTTGTTATCAGCTGCCATCAAGTCATCCCCCAACTCATGGTGACCCTATGTACAACAGAATTTAACACTGCCAGGTCCTGCACCATCCCCATAATCAGCTGTGACTGTTGTGATCCGTAGGTTTCAGAAGTAGATCACACAGTAGATCTTCCTAGTCCATGTTAGTCTGGAAGCTCCGCTAAAACATGTCTGGCATCATAGAGATACTCAAGCCTCCACTGACAGATGGGTGGTGGCGGCACATGAGGTGTTTTGGCCGGGAATCAAACCTGGGTCTCCCACATGAAAGGCGAGAATCATACCACTGAACCACCAGTGCCCCATCACTGACATTTAAAACCAGAAAACCAAACCCGTTTCCATTGAGTCAATTCCAACTCACAGTGACCCTATAGGACAGAGCAGAACTGCCCCATAGGGTTTCCAAGAAGTGGCTGTGTGGATTCAAACTGCCGACCTTTTGGTACCCTCCAAAACTGATATCAAACTATTTCTCGTATTGGTGGAGTTTTTTCTCCTAGTTTTAAACATACACACAAGATCTATGATACGGGCCTTCAACCCCCAGTATTTCTTACTCAGAATAAGTCTATTCCTTATTTTGGGATTGCCTTAGACCCAATCACTAACAGAGGCCTGTCCCTCACCATGTGCGTCCCCTAGGTTTGGAGATGGCTACATTGTCACAATGAAAATCAAATCCCCGAAGGACAACTTGCTTCCCGACCTGAACCCCGTGGAGCAGTTCTTCCAGGGGAACTTCCCAGGCAGTGTGCAGAGGGAGAGGCACTACAACATGCTCCAGTTCCAGGTCTGCTCCTCCTCTCTGGCCAGGATCTTCCAGCTGCTTATCTCCCACAAGGACAGCTTGCTCATCGAGGAGTACTCGGTCACGCAGACCACGCTGGACCAGGCAAGTCTGGCCCAGGCACCCCAAGTGCAGAGCGGGGCAGGGACAGAGACTGGGTCAGAACCCTCAACGAGGGCTGGAATTGACACCAGAGGGGGCACGACTCTCCCAGGTTTTAACACACGGTCTCTCTGTCCATTAGGGGAAAACTTGATATATCAGAAATTGTTTTCTAACTACATTTTAGTCATCAGCAAACTTCACCGGCTCTTTTACATCATTGTTCCCCACTACACTACGGCCTGTTATTTCATGCATACTGGTTTGTGGTGGTGGCTTTTTTTTTTTTCTTTTCAGATCCACTGTATTGATGTGTAATTTACATACAATAAAATGTACGCATTTTAAGTGTATAGTTTGGTGAGTTTTGATACATATGTATGCCCATGTTTGGTTTTTTTGTTTTGTTTTGTTTTAATAAACATCATTAAAGACAGTCAGGATCCCTGGGTTTGTGCAAATGGTTAACCCTCTCAGCTGCTAACCGGAAGGTTGAAGGTTCAAGCTCCACTCTGACACACATGGGGTTAGGACTGACTTGACGGCAACCGGGTCTGGGTTAAAGACAGTCAGATAAAGTAGGTGGAAGCAGGCAAGTGTCCTCGAGGAGCTTACTCACCAGCGCCTCTTGTCAGCCTTGAGCAGGTGAAGTCATAAGCAGGAGTCGTGGCCACACTGTACACTCTAAATGAACAACAGGAAAGAGAAGAGATCAGCTACCTTTTTTAAAAAAAAATTATTTTCTCTAAAAGGAGTAGAAGGACCTGTTAGCTAAGACCCTGCCTTGCCTTAGTTATCCCAAGTTCTTTGAATCCTTTGGTGGGAACTCCCCAGAAACAAGCCCTATTCAGGTCCCTGCAGGCTGGGGTTCCACGTGGTAGAACAGCGTCTCCTGGGCAGGCCACAGCCACTCCAGCGGGGTTGTACGTTAACCGCAGAAAAAGAAAGCAAAGGGGGTGGGTAGGTAGAGGGTGCTGTTTTTCAGGAAATCTCTACCCACTCTTGCTGTTCTCTTGTCTCTAGGTATTTGTGAACTTTGCTAAGCAGCAGATGGAAACTCACGACATTCCTCTGCACCCTCGAGCTGCAGGAGCCACTTTGCAAGCCAAGGTACCCCTGCTCCTTTTTCACAGTCTCTTGCTTGGGGCAGATCCTTGGAGACCCACCTGGTCCACTGGGTATGAGGGCTCCAAGACCCAGATACTTCTCCTGCAGAGAGCCCCGCACAAGCCACGTCCCTGCCACATCCTTTCCACATCCCCATCATGTTCTTACCACATCCCTGCCACTCTGTGCTGAAGTACTTTCCAACTGGTAGCTACGTAGGTTCCTTTTGTAACCAGGAAACCATTCAGATGGTATGAAAGAGTGTATTTTAAATGAACTTCCCTACATGTTTTTGCTGACAGCAAAAATGAATAAATAAAATAAACTTGGATTTTAGAAATAAGAAGTCAGGAAGGTAGGAGAAAATATGAAAACATTTTGGTTGTTGGGATACTTGAAATCTATGTCTGGTCAGATGTCTGTGTTTTAAGGGAAGGAAATTAGCTAGTCCCTGGGCACTCAGTTTCGATGGAGGACACAGTTGGTCAGATCAAAGATTATCACCTGTTGTAGGAAGGGGGCACTTTGGTCTTTATAAAAATATCAAGATGATGGAGAAGGAAGTAATAGAGAGCTATGTCTCCTGACCTGAGATAACTCTTGGATGGGTGCTTCCGGCTTCCTGCCCAGGCAGCATGCTTCACATAAGGAGCATGCACTACCCATCCCAGTTTCCCAGAAAGATAGAAAAAGCTAGAGAAGGTCCTGGATGAGGTGCCAGGGTCCAAGTGCCTGTTGCCAAGCATGGAATTTTAAGAGACAAATTAACTCAGCCAATCTCTCCTAACTTCCCTATCTTCCATTTTTCAAATCAGAGCATTTTTCCAATAAGCAAAGATGTTATCTCATTCCTCCCACCTGTTTCTTGATTGCAAGAAAAACCAAATACAGCTAATGACTGAAACACTCCCTTCCAAGGCAGTCCTTGTGATGAATATTTCCCCTGCCTCTTAACCAGTGGAGACATAATGGTTACTTGTTAAGATTGAAGGAGCCCTGGTGGTGCAGTAGTTGAGTGCTTGGCTGCTAACTGAAAGGTCAGCGATTGGAACTCACCAGCACTCCATGGGAGAAAGATGTGGCAGTCTGTTTCCATACAGATTTACAGCCTTGGAAACCTTACAGGGCAGTTCTACTCCATCCTAAAGGGTCGCTATGAGTCAGCATTGACTCCACGGCAACAGGTTTTGGTAAGATTGACTTTGCTGCCCGAGGGCCCAGAAGTGCCTAAGTGAAGACGAGATTCCTGTCCTGGGAAGGTTAGCTTTGCTGAGATTTTCCATCCACTGTTCCTCACTTAGGAGCCCCTGGGTAGTGAAAATGGTTAAATGCTCAACTATTAACCAAAAGGTTGGCAGTTCAAATCCACCCAGAAATGCCTTGGAAGAAAGGCCTGGAAATCTACTTCTGAAAGGTCATAGCCATTGAAAAAAGCCCTATTCACGGTTCTACTCTGAAACACATGGGTTTGCCGTGATTTGGAATCAACTCGATGGCAACTGGTTTGTTTTTTTGGTTTCTCATTTATGCATCTTATAGTTCCTATTGACAATGGTAGAAAATTATTATTGGAAAGCCATTTGCAATTAAATATCCCTTTTATAGGAGCCCTGGTGGCGCAGTGGTTAAGAGCTTGGCTGCTAACCAAAAGATCGGCAGTTCAAATCCACCAGCCACTCCTTGGAAAACCTATGGGGCAGTTCTACTCTGTCCTATAGGGTCGCTATGAGTCAGAATCGACTCGACGGCAACCAGTATCCCTTTTATAGCTCAGGATACAATAATGCAGAACTACAATGGTTTTCCCACCTCATGTTCTCCGGCATATTCCCTCTTAAAGCATTAATACCAAATCCACTCTGGGCCAGGCCAGGGATGCTGACGGCCTATGATATGCAGCAGTTCATTCCAAACTTACCCCCTTATTGGATGTGACCATTTTTCAATTTTGTTTTTGGCTTTTCAGCAGACAGATATTAGAAAACCTGCTACAAAAAATAACTGCGAAGTTATTAAATTGGTATATTTTTATAATAAATTGGTGACTCAAAACCTAACTCTGACTTTATTACATAATATCTTTACAAAGGTTTGCAAAAATCCTTCTGTATAGCATTGTACTTAAGTAAGTCAGTCACAAAACAGTAATTATGTTCTTGTTTCCATTAAGCTACTTTAAAACAAGTTTCCTTAAAATAGCCTACACCCAAGAAAATGATAATTTTTCTCAAGGAGTTCTAGGAAACATTTCTAACTTGCCCCTGAACAAATGTGAGAAGGTTCAGGAAGTTCAACAGGCTGGTGGTTTCATAGCCCCAGATCGTGAGCAAAAACCACACTGCCATTTCATTATCAAGAGATCAGTATATCTGCTTATCAAGAACATCTTAAAATTCTTCAAAGAACGCAGTCCTGGAAAACAACTTTGGGGAGGAGGGCTTGCAGAATCTCACAATCTGTCTTGTGAATACAGGTGAGGGTCAAGGTTTTGATAGGTGACTAGGCATCTGATGGGTCAACGTAGAAACATCCTAAATGGAGTCTCTGGGTGGTGCAAATGGTCAACATGCTCAGCTGCTAACCGAGAGGTTGGAGGTTCAAGCGCACCCAGACGCACCTCAGAACAAAAGCCTGGAGAGCTACTTCTGAAAAAGCAGCTACTGAAAATCCCATGGAGCACAGTTCTAGGCTGACACACAGGGGGTCGCCACGAGTCATAATCGCCTCTATGGCAAGTGGTTAAATGGGTTAATAATTGATTTCCCACCATATGTGCTTTCCAAAATCATACAACTCAGAGCAATTTCTGATCCTGATTCTTGCACATTGTTAGAAAGTTTTCACATGTAACACCTGTCCTATCAATTAGTTTCAGAGCTACCTGAAGCCTTTGTAGGTTCCTTGCCACACCTCAAAGCCCTAAACATTATATTAGTCATCTTCTTAAGAGGATATGTGATTTTAAACCAGATAACAGGATAAACCACATTTTGTCTAGGCAGGGTAGGCCTGCTTCTACCCCGCTTCTTGCCCACATCCCCTACCCCCACAGCTGAGTACTAGTTCAGGAATTCAACCTGTATCTTCTAACTGGAGACTGTATTTCTCCTATTAAAAAAGTCAGCTTGATGTCCACTTCTCATGGAGATTGGACTGAGTCCCTGAGCTTTGATCTGAAGCCTTCTATCCTGAACTTCAGCTCAAATCTCTTTCCACCGTCCTACCCTCACTCCCTCTACCTACCATCAAGTTTACATGCTTCCCAGGAACCACTTCGATAGGAAGTGGTTGAAGGGAATTCTGCACTTCAAGGGTAACAAATTATGACACCTCCATGGCTTTTAAGACAGTAAGGCCATGGCAACTTTCTCGGGCTAAAAATTAACCCAAAACAGCCTTTGGAAACAGCACAGAGGGTGTAGCTTCTCTCTAAGATGTATGCATGTATGTACGTAAAAAGGGGTGTGCATCTTTATACGTGTATGTGCAGAGAACGTCTGGATCTTGGAGCCAGAAGGACCTGAGCGATCATCTGCTCTGGCCCCTTCACAGATAAGGAAACAAACATAGCTGGTAACCTTGTTGATCTGGCGGAATCACAGTGCCTCAGCTGAGTTTCCTTCAGGGACTGATTGCCGACTATTTAACTTTTAAAATCTAAAAGCAGTTGCACGATCTCTTCAGAAAACCGAGATGACGAGAGCCCATCTGATCTCCTCCCGCAGGTCTGCTGAATGCCCCCACGGCCGTTCCCCAGGAACAATGGGCAGCTAGAGGCGCAGGGGCCTTTGCCCACATGGTCATCTGAACCATCCCACCAGCGTAAATGATCCCACAGCAGCAGAAAACAAACACTTGAGGAGAGTACGGTGAACTCAAAATGAGGCTCTTTTGGAAGGAAACCAAAACTCACTCACTCACCAAGGACACATGATGTTGAAATAGATCCAGCCAAACGAATACAAAAACTCTTTCTATTCAGACCACAGAAGTAGAAGTCCCAGTCTTTCCTACTAGTAACTTTGGCCTCAGTATCTCTCTCATTTCAAGCGGATCTACTTTCTTCTCTGTCTGTTTTATTTTTACGGAAAAATAAAATGCAGATGTACTCATCACAAACTGTCCTAACTCCTGGTCTCCCTGGTGTTCTGTGTGCGTGTGTGAGGCCCCCCTGTCTTCCCGTAAGCTTCTGTGAGATTTTTTGCCACAGGAGGACTAATCATGGCAAGATTCTGCAACACTGGAGTGGACTGAATGGACTAGGCCTGATGTTCCACACCAAGTCTGCCTTCTAGGATTCATAAATACCCAACTGGTAATGGATGTAAACATTATCCATTGTCAGTGGGTATTATCTGAATCTAGGTTTTTTTGTCTGTCCATCATATTTGTGTACATACCTCATAGGTATAATTGGAGCAGGAGACAAAGAAAGGACACACAAATGGATTCTTGGTTGGATATGAAGTCCACCATATCTTTGTAACTGTTTAAAGACAGGAAGCCCTCATTCATACAATGCTGTGCCATTCACACAATCCTGAGTTGTCCGTCTTTCTGCAGTGATAGGAGGGGATGGTTCACAGGACATCAGTACCATAAAAGCTTACCAAGAATCAGAAAATAATAGTTTTAACCAAACCACTTCAAGAGACTTATGGATGAGGAGAGGAAACGGACTCTCTGCCAAGGCCATCTCCTCTCCATGACCCACAGATGGGCTTCCTAGTTCACCTTCTGGAGCAGTGCTGCTCAACCACATTTCTACAGATGTACCCCAGGCCCCAGGAGTGAAGGTGGGAGTTGAGGGGGAGAGAAAGGAGCAGAGTCCCAAGAACTGTTATTGAAAAGGGGAGATGGAAGAACTTGAACATGAGGGGGTAACATGTTACTTCAGCAATAAGAATCCTATGCTTCTCTAGCGACAGAGCCCTGGAGAAATTCTAGACAGCTTCTGGCTCTCTGCTTGGCACATAATAGTTGCTTAATAACTACTTCAATAGCCTTAGAGCTTCATCTGGTTTTAACTTTCTTTTTTTTTTTTAAATCTATCAATTGACCAAAGCCATAAAACTATTTTAAGTAGAGTCAGAATAGAGGTTGGGAAAGCCCAGGCATGAGCTGCTGATACATCACACTGTTGCATCCTGGCTGGTTTTGTGATTTCAGTTAAGAACTACAATTTCACAGGGAAGAAGACTAAGCAGGGAAGGGGGGTGAGCAGTCATTCGTGGTGGGTTTTAAGGGTTGTTAGACGTCATGAACTAGAAAAAGTCTGGTATAGCCAAACAGGCCAGAATTGAGCCAAAAGATCTACTAATAGGTTTAAGGGGAGGATGCAGGAGAAGGAACAAGAAAAGAGAGGAACAAGAGAGGAGAAGAAATTAGTCAATTGGTATAAAGATGAGGGCTTAGGGAGGGTGCTGCAGCCCATGTCCCTCATCCTGCGCCTTTAGGTCTAAGGGCCACGAGCTCCTTTCTTTTGGTAGTTTTTCTGCCCTTTGACCTTGCCCCTGTTTATCTCTCGCCCCTTTCTAAACTCCTATGATTAAAGGAGATCCCTGGGTGGTGCAATGGTCAAGTGCTCAGCTGCTAACTGAAAGGTCTGTGGTTCGAACCCACCAGCAGCTCCATAGGAGAAAGGACCTGGAGATCTGCTCCCTTAAAGATTACAGCCTAGGGAACCCAATGGGGCAGTTCTACTCTGTCGCATTGGGTTGCTATGAGTTGGAATTGATTCGACGGTGCCTAACAACAACTGGGTGGTACAAACGGTTAACGTGCTCGGCTACTAACTGAGAGACTGGAGGTTTGAGTCCACCCAGAGGCATTTCAGAAGACAGGCCTGGTAATCTACTTCTGAAAAATCATCCATTGAAAACCCTATGGAGTGGCCCTGGATACCCTTTTAGTTCAGTAATGAAGTCACTCCCGAAGTTCATCCTTGAGCCAAAGATTAGACAACCCCATAAAACAAAGCAAGACTAATGGGGCACAACAGCCCAGGGACAAGGACTAGAAGGCAGCAGGGGTCAGGAAGCTGGTAATAGGGAGCCCAAGGTCAAGAAGGGAGAGTGTTGACATGTCGTGGGGTTGTTAACCAGTGTCATAAAACAATACGTGTACTGTTTAATGAGAAACTATTCTGTAAACCTTCATCTAAAGTACAATAAAAGAAAAAATTTTTTTAAAAAAGAAAACCCTGTGGAGCACAGTTGGTACTCTGATACACATGGGGTCACCATAAGCCGAAGTCAATTTGATAGCAACTGGTTATAACTAAAGGACCAATTTACTATGCAATACTATTCCCCATAATATTTGGCACAGTTGAGGATGGACACGTTCTACTATATCAAATGTCCAGGCAGTGGTTCCCCACCCTAGCGTCTTTCCTTTGAAAGAAAGAGCGAAAAACAGACATACAGGTCACCTCCAAGATCACAGACAGACAACTTCTTGCCCTCTGGCCTAGGATGCCTGTCCACATCAGCTGCTAGGGGGCTTAAATATAAAAGGTGGCAGGAAGAATTGCTACTCAAGGGAAATGACAGCTTCTAGGTATATCCTTTACTGACCATGAGCATTTAAGAACTGAAGCCTGGCCAACTTGTTCTCCAGAGAAAATATAAGCTGAAGTAAATTAAAAGGACTAGTCTGTTTTCACTAATTTAAGATGGGAAGTGGCAGTGCTATTCCTGAGGGCTTAGTCCTAGGGAAGAGGAAATCACACAAAAAGCCATAGAAAAAAGTCAAACTCTGGGATTTCCTTCCCAAATGGTCTGAAGCCTGCTTTTAAAGCCTGTGTGGACCTCTCTCCTAGGTCTTTATCCTTCAGGGCGTGGTCCTTGGACACGCAGGTTGGTGTCCACCACAGACCATGCATGAGGCTCTTTGGAAAAACAAGGGAGGGGAAAAAAGAGGAGTAGAGACATGGGGCAGCTGGCAATGTTCCACCATCATCCAATGTGGAACTTCAAGGAGTCCAAGAAGTCTCAATTTGGCCTAGGTCTTTATAAGGTCATTGTTTAGCAGGTTGCTAGCTTGATTTATAGCTTTCAATATTGAGACATATATGGTTGTCTGCTGGCACTCTCCTCAGTGCCTTTCCCAGGACTTGCCATGACACAGAGTCAGCTTTCTGAGTTGGTGCCTGATATCAAGGCTCAGCTGTGTATGGAATGTCCAGTGAGGGACTGTCCAATGGGATATCCAGTGAGTCAAGCTGTGCCTAGACAGAAGCCATCCTCTTGGTTTTGTACTTTAGTAATTTTCCAGTTTATTGTAGCCAAAATCTTATCATCTTGGGTCATATGAATTTCAGGGGAAAGTTTCATCTGCAAAGCACTAGAGATATCACCTTGTCAGACAGCATTCCAGGCACGCAGCTTTGCAGGGTGCTATTCTCATTTTCCACCAGAGGTTGGCAATCTCTTTGGTCTTGAATGATACTGACAACTGAGTCAATCCTCTTACAGAATCAAAGGAGTAAGAACGAAGAGAGAGGAAACTGAGGTCAGAAGAGGGGCAAAAAGCATTCAGTGCTCCATGTTCTGGGAGAAGAGTGGTGAAGACACAGCCAGTCTCTTTATGGTGCCATAGACTGATATAAGCACTTTACATGTTTAATCATATAATCCTTAATCCATTGAACCTGTTGCCATCAAGTTGATTCTGACTCATAGTGACCCTATAGGACAGAGTAGAACTGCCCCATAGGGTTTCTGAGGAGCGGCTGGTGGATTCGAACTGCTGACCTTTTGGTTAGCAACCGAGCTCTTAACCACTGCACCACCAGGGCTCCATATAATCCTGACAACCATCTAATAAGCAGGAACTGTGATTATCTCCATTTTACAGATGAAGGAACGAAGACCCAGGGAGGCGAACTTGACCTAAATTGTGTAATAAGTGATGGGGCTGGGATTTGAACTGACATAGTCTGGCTCCCAAGCCCTCAATCATTCCTCCACACAGCCTCTGAAAAGACACACAACAAGACAAACACACAAACACATCCCATAGGGGAAAATATTCATT